GCCTCTGCTCCCCGCAGGAGGCAGGAGGCAGCTGGGCCCTCAGGACTGCGGGATCTGCTGGCAGCGCGTGGGGCTGGGCGGGAGCCTGGCGGCGGCGCTCTGCTCGGTGCGGAAGCTGTACTCATACTGTGGAGGGACGGACAGAGAGCAGTCAGTGTGGGGGACCCGGGGCGGCCACTCCACACCTTGGCCGGGCCCTCGCCGAGCCCTGTGCGTGCACACGGGCTGTGGGTGCGAGCATATGCCTTCAGACCCACCTGTGGGGCTGCAGTGCCTGCTGGTCTCTGAGGGCTGGTACCTCTCACAGTCCCTGCCCCCACGCCCGCAAGGTGAGACCTCAGCACCGGCAGTGCCTGAGCCATGACATCAGCGGCAAACGCGCCAGCTGATTGCGTGCCAGGCTGCACGCCCGGCGCCCTCCGCCTCCCACCCCCGCAGACGGTCCTACTGGACGGAGTCCCACGCTGGCAAGGGCAGATCTGGGTTCCGTCCCAAGCCTGACCAAGGGCAGTGCAGCCCCCAGGCCCAGGGGACCCCCACTTGCCGCTCCGAGTACGTGCCCCTCGAGCACTGCTGGTGACGGACACACCCTGCCCGTGCCCCCTCCCTGCGGGTGTGCGAGTGGCCTCATGAGCTGCCGAGGACCCTCTAGGGCTGCACCCACTGGCCCCCGAGCGCACCCAGCAGATCTTGGGCCGAGGGCAGCGCCTTTTCTGTGGGGCCAGGGGACCTGAGGGTCACCTTGAAGGCCAGGTGCTCCTACAGGTTTTGGGAATGAGGAGCTTACACTGGGTCAGTGGTTGTCAAGCGTTTAAATACGATCTGAAACCTTTTCGGCAGCTGGAATCACCATAAAAGGGCTCGCCTACTTAAAGCAGCGCCCGCCGCCGCCGCCTCTGTGGGGACACTGGGGGAGGCTGGTAGGAAGATGGGGTGGAGCCATGGCAGCAGGGGGGCATCCCCCGGGCACCCCCACAAGGAGGGCTCCAGACGCTCTGCTCCCTCCAGGCACCTGGCAGAGCCTGCCCAGCACCCCTGCCCCGAGGGGCTGCCTGCAGCCAGGAGGCACTTCCGGGCCACACCAAGCGAGAGCAGCTGGAAGTTGAAAGGTTTCAGGTTTGATAGTGTCCTCAACCCCCCTGCCTGGCAGTCCCACAGCACTGACCCAGGACAGACAGACAGACAGACACAGATGTGCGCTGGGGCTCGGGGAGGCCCGGCTGACCGTCCCTGTGCGAAGGTGGAGGTGCGCAGCCTCACGGAGCCACAGGCCCCGGTGGGGGAAGGATGGGGTCCCTACAGACAGCCTGTCTCCGAGGGCGGAGAGGCGCTCACGTCGCAGGGCACCTCGGGCAGCTCTCTGCTCCTCTCGGAACCTCGGTAAGCTCACCTCGGCAGTGGGGTCACCAGGAAGTGACAAGGGTTGGTGAGGACGCGGAGAAAAGGGAACCCGCGTGCATTGTTGGGAATGTCAACTGGTGCCGCCGCGAGGAAAGCAGTATGGAGACCCTTTAAAAACTAAAAATAGAACCACCATGTGACCCAGCAGTCCCACTGCCGGGTCTGATCCCAAGGAAGTGAAAGACAAACTTGAGGAGCTGTCTGCGCCCACGCAGCTCACTCACCGTAGCCGGGCAGAGCACACCCCGAGCGCCCTCACCGGCTCATGGGTAGAGGAAGCGTGGCACACAGTACAGCTGCTCGTACGGAGAAAGACGTGCGGGTTATGACTATTACAGCAGCTTTAGTAACTCAACAGAACGTCACAAGGCAACGGCAAGCTTTTGCCCAGCCCTGTATATACACAGTGGAATATTATTCAGCCTGAGAAGAATGAAGTCTTGCTGTTTGTGACGCATTATGCTAAGTGAAATAAGTCAGACGGAAGAAAAGTACCACATGATCTCACTTACATGTGGAATCTAAAAAACAAAACAAAAAACAAGACACAAAA